GCTATTACTGGTTTAGGCCAATACTGCGTGCATTTACTAATTAACCTACATTGGACGCGTTGAATGAACATTTTAAATATTTGACTTTGGAACGCGCTTTCCTCATAAGAGACATGAGATTAGTAGCATAAATCGAATTGTATTTTTTTTTAAATAAGCATGTACGTAGGTCATGGAGGGTCGAGCTCTGCGAATTATAATGTTATTATCGAATCTGTTTAAATTAAATCTATATTGTCGACACTTCGACACTAACATGTCATGGTATAGGCATGGAGAAAGCAAGTCTAGCCGTAACTTACAGAAATGTTATTTCATTTCAGACAATTCGATTGAATGATTCATCAAATCCCTGTCTTGCACATGGTAAACTGGTCCCATTTCGCGGCAGACTTGGGACATGAATATGTATCCATCAGTACTTACTAATACAATGACTTATTTGTATGTTCATGTCACTTGCTTTTTGGCGTGAAATAAAGCTTTTTTTCTTTCTATCTTTTTTCTTTCTTTCAATCTAGAAAAACCCACACGTCTAGAGTTTTTTTTTAGATGAAAATTGTCGTGGATCAGTGTGTGATTATGAAATTATAATCTCCAAAACAAGATCAAGTTTAGATAGCCTGTATGTTAGTGACAGATAAATGTGTACATTGCAGTAAATCCGATCTTTTTAACAAATACGACAAATGTTTGTAATTTGTTTTTTTTTTCTTTCGCCCTCATTTACTCCCTTGCCAGTAAAAAGTAGTTACTTAGTTACCTCCGTTGTGTTTCGTACATGAAATCAGAATTATAATAATATAGTGTTTGCGTAATAATAGAGAATTTGACGTTCCATCGAAAGTATCACAATTACAATTCCCACTTCTAGTAGGCCTGTGAATGAACGATGAAGAGATATCTTATTATAACACTATATACAATATAACAAAGTAATAATAATTGTTAGAACACACGCTATCACAATGCGTGTGACAAAAAAATTACATTTATTTCCGTCAATTTACACAATACTTGCAACATTGTGGGAAGTTCAGTCTGATTATCAAAGTTTGCTAACAATCTTCATATCTCATTAATGAATGGTCTCGAGAAAGTGAGGAGACTGTGTATGAATAGAGAAAGTAATAGTAGGTACATAATGTGAACAGCTCACAACGGATCTCTAAGAAAGTAACGTCTTCGTACGGAAGCTTCGAATAAACGTACAATGATAATATAAGTATTTCTTATGTTATTGATATGTCGAGTAAGTGGTCAAGTTACAACCAAGCAGAGCGATCTCAAGCCACTATAGCCACAGATTGAGGAGCTGCTCAATGTTGATTGGTGTAGTGGCTGGACAACTGGCTACTGCGCAAGATATCGCGGGTCCGATTCCCGCACAGAAGTTCACAAGACAGTATTTCATAGTCATCTTCAAATAGTTGTTCAGGACCTGGATGTGTATGAATATTTGTCAAAAAGTCAAAAGTCAAAATCATATATTTCAATTAGGCCAGAATGGCACTTTTGAACGTCAAAATAAAATTAATATTAAAAGTGAAGCTATTTGCTCATTCCAAGGTGTAGATTCCTATGGAGAAGAACGAGCAAGAAACTCCATAGGTTACTCTTTTTCAATCAGGTATGTTCAAATAGGTATGTTTGTAAACACACCAACGCTGCAGGAACAGCCCTAGTGTCCATTCACGTCTTTTTCTAACAAAAAGAACTTAAGGTAAGGGCTAATGGGATCAAAATGCAAGACTACACCTAAGTGTATTAATTAGGTATTAGTACCTACTTATATGGTTCTCTATCTTTAAATCTGTAAGCACGTGGCATCGGTCTTAAGTAGGTTAGTCTCTTTTGTCAATGAAAGAAAAAGATTCTTGTCAGCTCATTCAGCACTCACTATTTAGGTACATACTCAGTTAGTTAAGTGAGACAACTGTTTCTTTGAGAATAGTTAATGGATGCCTGGAAAGAGTTTTAAAAATTCCTAGTTAAGATTTCATCATACATTCTTATGGTACCTGCTTCTTCCTTATTAGGGTTTGAGCTGATAGTACTACTGCCAAATAGATACCATCTATTGATCAAATTACAGCAATATATTAGTAATTTGGTTGACTTCGAGTGGGCAATTTGTCATGTATTGTATGCCGACGTTCGATACGCATTGGCCTAATATATAGGTTACGCTCCACAATTTCCCACGCCCGTTTTTCCTATACCAACAATAGACATTTTTTAGGCGTGGTGCAGACAGCACATACGCTACCATATAAGGCGAATTCCACACGACATGCAGCAGAGCGGATAAAGCGCTGCGTTCACGCGCCGATGCACCCGACGAGCACGCGACTTGCCGATTTCTGAGCGACATCACACCAAAATGTGATATTATACCGCACTAGCTAACGGTACAGCGCAGCGTTAATTTGATAATTTTACTGGTGGCTCTCTCTCGATTTAATATAAGACAAGTTTATATCCGTGTGCGTTGCATTCGCGCGCACTTTCTGAAACAATTAATTAAAAACATTCCAAAAGGTGAACGGAACCGGTGACAATATTTTCGTATCATATCATTTGTAATTTAAATGGAACCACGTAATACCTCGGAAGCTTACAACGTTACGACTGCGGTAAGGAGTTACAACCGCCGTTGTTATTTAATAAAATTAAATATTTATGGCTGCAAATTCTGGGAACCCGACATTTCGCATGAAAATTAAGAACATTTTTTCTTATATTCATTTCCCCTGACGAAAACTTTTATCGAATACCTACTGGGTTAAAGTTCAATGACATTGATTTCAAAATGTAAAGTACTGTCGATCTTATCACTTCTTTCAGATAGGAGATAGGAGTAGAATTACTAACTCTGACCTAGTTATAAAATGTGTTAAAGTGCTTATAATTTTATTTTAGAAATTCTGTTAAAATCATAAATAGGTACTTGTAGGTACCAACTTAACTTGAATGTATCACATAGTCTGGTGCTACGAATCTCCGACTTGTACCTGTGATGCAGCGGGAAACAAATAGGTACTAGGTAGCCAGTAAAAGTCGTAAGTATAAGAAAAAATATGCAAAAAATTGGTGGTCCAAAATAACTAGGTACAGTGGTCTGTGTTTCCTGAATGGTATAGCCTGGGTGTCTTCAAGGCCCGAGTGAGTAGGTTACTTATGGGTCGACGTGTTCCATCGTAGACCGTATCAGCGCTTACCACCGGGCGAGATAGTGGTCAAACGTAGGCCCATCAAATATAAAAAAAAACATTGGGTTTAGAAGAAACCCTCAGCAACGGTAACGTAATAAGTCTATTGTATAGACCTTGCAGTTACAGTTGCATGTTGTTTGTGCTATAAAAGTCGTAATAGGTTGACAACGTTCATAAGTATTCCATTTATAACAAGTCTAATTAATCTGTGGTAATAACACAGACATCTGTTACGGACAACAACAACCTCGCGTTGTTCTCTTTAGCCATAAAAAGGCGGGAACACGACACCTCTTTGCGCGCCATGTTTGGCCAGAAATCGAGACGTTGTCGTTGAAGTCTTACCCTTATTTAATGATGGTTTAGCAACTTTTATAACTTACCTAAGTACGATACAACGTATTCGTGGTTCATGTATTCAAGTTGATAATAAACGCGTATGTTGATTTATCTCGAATTAAATAAATTAATTTATCACCTTTACTTTATATGTCCTTTCAATTCACCCGAATGGATAGACTCTGGGTATTATTCTGTGCTCTAGCTCTGAGACAAATTCAACTTGAATCTTTGGAAGAATTTGTATCACAAACGGATTCAACCTAAAAGGCTGAATGATTTTATGGGGTTAAAGAGACATTTTTTACAGTTGAGAGTTGGTACTAAACTGACTAAACAGAGTAAGCAGGTAAAGTAGGTAGGTAACTAGGTGCCTAGATAAGTAGGTGTCTACAAAGTATCGTACATACAGAAATATTAATAAAAACAGAAGTGCCATGGGGACGTGTCAGCGTACCGCGTTATTGGGCGCTTTGCCCTTTGCTGTCCTGGGTGCTTACTCTTGAAACCAATCTCAATGTCAATGCAATTTCAATCCAATAAAATCTCAATAATTATCCAATGTCAAAACTATACCACCCCTACCGTAGCTGTTGAAATAGTAATCAGAGTACGGAATTTAAAGCCAAACTCAGTACCATTTAGTTCATTCAATATTCACGCAATACGGATGCAATGGGCGCTAGTGTTGCTACTCAAGAGTACGAAATTTCACAATACCAATGTCGATTGATCGGAATTGGATTCAAAAGTAAGCCCCCTGTTAATGCTCGTCGGTTGTCATTGTCAATTTGTCAACCACGATCGTAAAACAAAGATATAATGCCGTCTTGTTCAGTGTTAGTTTTCTTCTTTACTATATCTATGGTCATACAGAACTCTTACTTCTTATGACCAATGTATGATTATTTTGTCTAATGTAGGTAGTTCTACTAGTTCTATATTGATAATAATTATAATAGGTAGTTCTATTTAAGTAATATAATATTTGTTTAACGTTCAAAAGTGCCTTCCTGATCTAATTGAAATAAATAATTCTGACTGTGACTATTACAGCTTGCTGTATTTTCACCTAACACCAGGAAGTTTTCCTGTGTAATTATTGGGTTCGTTTACAAATATAAAAAAGCCGTTTAACAAGTACCCATCACACCCAGAACCAGACCAACAATGTATGGACCACACAAAGAATTATTGCGTGCGCGAATCAGACCCGCGCCACGTTCCTACATCAGACGGTTACCTATGTTAATGTGTCGTCGTCCCGTAATTTTTTTTCATATTTTTCACCAGTAATGTTTGTGAGTCAATTACTATCTAATAAGGCTATAATAAAAAATAAGTACCTAAGTTTTTTTTTTATCGGCATACTATACTACTTTACGGCGTTAGCGAGTTACCTATCGAATCTGCGTGAAGTTTACGCAGATTCGATAGTACCTCGATAGTCCAGGTAAACTACGACCAACACAGGGGCGTAGCTAGCGCCGTATCTGCCGTATCAATTATATGTGTGTTATGTTGTATTGTGTAAGAAAAATATAAAAACTTTTCAATTTATATTTTATTTTAGTAATCATAAAATACATGCGTTTAAAGGTTGGCAGAAACCGTGAAATAGAGAAATCTTTTCCATGGCAGAAATTTTGGAAAAACTAAAGTACCTAATCATTGTCTGATAATTTGGGCAGAGGAGGTACCTATTTTATGTAAAAAAAAATTCTTCGAAGAATGTTTTACCTTTCGTAAGGGCCCCCAAACAAATTTTTATACGGGACCCCGTCAAGCTACGCTACGCCTTTGGACCAACAGACGAGCCTGGAACTATTCAACCAACGAAGCAGCCTCCCTACTTTATTTTCATCTTCGAAAACTTTTTCCTGTTAAGGTCGGCGGCGCTTCGGCAATTCCTTCCACTTCGGAGTTAAATTCCTTATCAATGTCGTCAAGTCTCGAATGAACAGGTTGTTGATAGGTAGGCATGCTCCAGCCACCATCGTTGGCCACATCATTATGGCTAACCATCAGGCAAGAGGGTGGCCAAACGCCACCGTATTAAAAAACCTATATAAAAAAAACTTAGTGTTATCTAGGTTTTAACTGAACGTTTAGTACTTTTCATGGAGCGACTGCCTTCTGCTAGGAGCGATACCACATTCTTGGTTAGACTATCGACCAGTTTAACTTTTGTCTAGCTGAATGCTGTATCTATTAAGTATGTACAGGATTTTGTTGTAACTTATAAGGACGGACGTGCGAACGGCGGGGTTTCTGTCCCTGATTGGCGCATGGCCTATTAGCGACATCTATTGCTTAAATACTTGCAACAAAGTGAAACTAAACAGAGGTGGCGCCATCTTTCGAGGAAAATACAAATGTATAATCCATTTCTTAATCCATTATATTTTCTCTACATAATTACCAAAAAATATGATATTATTATATATAACAAAAAATAAAAAAACAAATCTCTAATAACTCACGGTTAACAAATACGCTTTATACAATCACATTGTATCAACAGCCCGTGGTAAACCACCGCTGGAATATGAGCCGCATCTGCATAAAATTAAAAGTTAAAATTTTTTATAAATTAAAACTACGCTTTGTAAAAGCGATAAAAACATTACAAGTTTCATAGACTTGAAGTAACTAAACGCAACTTCTTGTGACAATGGCTGAAAAAAATAAACAGCTGCATGCAGTGCTTTCCATGACCAATCCAGTTTCGCATTTGCAACACTGATTGAATGCTATCTCTGTCACTCACATGACAAACTAGGTTAGAATATTTTAATAATCATACAGAGCATGCTTCATTTGTTAACTGTCAAACCCGGATCTCAATTTGTATGTCCATCCATCTCTTTTATTCCTTGTTCTTTGTGAAATAAAAATTGTTCGTTTTCTATCCGACATATCGAATTTTACAAAGTTTAACGCAGAAATATAGGAACCAATGACTTTTGGGAGAATCGCCAACTTTAATTGGAATAATTGTATTGAAAGTAATGGGACTAACATAATTCGTAATATGACAGAAAATAGGTATGTTTACTTCATCAAGTATTTAAAATATAACCTTACATGATTATCCTTCCTAGTGAACCTATGCTTACTTAATGACTTCTATTCTTTACAGAAAAAGGTCTCGCGAGGACGACTCGTGTGAATTTATGCCATTGTCAAAGAGGATAAACAATTTACATATCAATAACAATTTGAATACGGTTGTTCCTCAAGCACAGGATGCTAGTCATAGTCAAATTAATGGAATAAATACGGAAAATGGAATCTCATCACCAAGTTCTTCATCAGGCTCGGAACGAAGACCGAGCTATGACCCTGGAATGAACTCCACTCAAAGTAGTTATTATTATGACAATAAGCTTTTATTCGAATTACATTTAGAGAGAATACAGAGATGTGGCCAACAATTTCCATATTAATTATAGATTTAGTGGTATTGGTACCTGATTAAGTTTTGTGTATGATGTGTATTGTTTGTTACTTCTAGTATTAATTAGTACCTATTTAATAATTAAATTGTAATTATTGTAACTTTTTTTAATTAAAATTGTTGAAGCATGGTAACAATTTTAATTTTTTGCTATGGTATTCCACTATAAATGTCAGATCATGAATTTTTGACCAATCACGGTAAAGAGATAGTGCGCCACCTGGTGATATGTTTCGTACACTACGGAAACAGTATGGCGGACCCCATTTGTTGTAAATGGTAAAAGAGAAGGGGCGTCGTAGTTTATTTATTTGTTATTATTTAATTATGGAATTTATTTTGATCATGTCGATGTGAGATATTAAGTTACTGAAAACAAGAAAATTAATGTCTTAGGTAAGTTATAATATATAAATTATTGTTTACAATGTATGAAATCCATGACCTTATTTTGGAAGCGGTATTCCGTAGTACCGTTAGAGGGGGCGCGTGGCCACCTGAGCGCTCTCGAAAGAGTGCCGCAAGGGCCGCGTTCACGTTCAACCCCTCCTCTCGCGATTTTCCTGGCAGTGGAGGAAGGAGTCGGGAGCGGGAGTGATTTGGTGACGGCACATGGAGGGGATCCCGCATCATGGTGGGGATGCGACGCGTGATGGACGCATAGCCATAGCCACAATCGCAGCCGGTCAAAATGCCTGGTAGGGGTGAACAACCTTCGATTTCTGTCTGGTTTCGCCCACGAGTTTGCGGGGTTCCCTCATATTTGGAATAGAATTGTTCTTTATTTATTTGTAATTGCGTAACTGAAGGGGTATCGGCCATATTTGTTGCGACTCCTTTGTGCGAACCGATGGTATAGTTTGAACCGTATTACAGTCTAATCCTATTCATCTTTTGTGAAAGTAGTATTATTTTTTATTAAAGAATAAAAATATGGTCAATGTATGAATGAATCCATGGTGTCAAACGAGTGGAAACTACCGATCCACGTATTTTGAGGTCAATGACACAATATACTCCGTGTGACCTTATTTTAACTTTCTGTTGCCGAAATGTCCGCATACGGCTCTAACTTTCAAGGTAACATTATTACGATTAAATTGAGGATTTATTTTGTAAAACATGTGGAATATATAGGTAGTTAGTTAGCCAGATTATTACCCAACCAGTTTGCTTCCCACAACTAGTGAACCACAACCACACCTCAGTCTTGTGAAAGTACAGCAAAGAGAAAGTGAGCATCACGCTAGAGCTACATGTGCATACATACACGCCAATTGTCTGTCAGTATGTATAACAAACTCGTCGGTCGACTATCGGGCCTGCATAAAAAACTTTCTTTAACCCACTTTCTTATTAGTAGTTTGCGATCATCTTTCGCCTCTCACCGCGGCTGAATTAATTTTAGTGTAGTGCTGTGTTTGGTGGTCGGTAGAGGTATGTGCCCTACCATCGTGGTCCCAGAGTAGTCCCGTGCGCAGTGGCGCACCGCGGTGGTGGGACATTGGGACGTGGGGATACGCGTTGCTATAGTGACTCAAGTGGGACAGTGAATTTTATTTTTATTTTTTCCCGCTTCGGCGGCGACGCGCGGAGGGTTCACAACAATGTGCGATATGCAGAAGATGCCCTCAAGAGAAGATGCCTCTTGGTATGCCGATGACTTCTTTTTGGACTATTTATTCATTTTCAAAATTGTATACTGGTAAACCGGTGGAAGCAGTTATGCAATTATTTGATTCTAATTTGTTATGGGTGATAAGAAATAGTAAATTATTTTTGTAAATCTTTTTATAACTATGAACAGATTTTCCGAATAGAAATTTATCTGAATGGATGGTATCAAACAAAGTTGTGTAATACAAACAATTAAAATCATATGTATTACCTAAAACACTTCCTACTTTCACTGAGATTACATAATTAATTTCACAAATATGGAGTTGAAACAACTTTCCTAACAGCACTTGTCTTTAATGAGAATATTTGTCTGTAACTTCATTTACATAAATTCTTGTCAAATATTCATCAGTTCATAATGTGGAAGCAAACTGGAAGGTCTGTGCTTAGGATTTGAATATACAGGGAAATTTTTTTTTAAGGTTGCATATAATTACTACAGTTATAAACAACTAGCTACTTCCGCGTGGTTTCACCCGCTCTGCTCGGCGCCTACTGATTGTAGCATTATGTTTTATAGCCTATTATAGCCTATCTCGATAAATGGGCTATCCAACACAAACATAATTATTCTTATCGAACAAGTAGTGAGATTAGCGCGTTCAAACAAACAAACTCTCCAGCTTTGTATAATAATAAGTATAAGTATTACAGTAAAACATTACAAAGAACAAAAATTAACTATGTATCATCAAGAATTCCTTTTCATCCTTTTTTTTGAGGGGTGAATCATCTATTGTCTTCTCCCACCCTGGTGAGGTGAGAAGGGAGACTTCAAGCCGTAGCCCAGGCAACCCGTTAAGTCCTCCGTTATTCCATATCTGCATCAGCCCTATTAGGTCCGATCTGTAGTGGACTGATGGCGTCCTCTTCATCCTTTAGGGGTAGACTGGTAAAAGACCGTTACTGTTACATAAATTGCAATACCCTTTACCCCAGCTATAAACCAGCGTTTCTGTCATTCATAAATAACTTGTAACTGTCATAATCACCAAAACAAGGTCATTGATATTCCCATGTTCTACTTGCTTGTTTGTTGCAACAGAAATAACTGTACACTGAATAATTATAACTGGAATGTATGCATCATAACACTTTATAAACCTGTACTTTTTCTATTTTAGTGTGTAATAAAAATTATTACTTAAATACTAGGCATTATTATTTTTATTTCTAAAAATCTTTGAGTACTATTTGTTAGACAACAGTAAATGAAAACAGTTAGCCTCCATCTTACTGTTGGGGATTTGGATGTATCTTTACATCAGGATTCAGGACTATGCTTTCACAAAGATGCTTTTTGTAAAATCACTATCCCTTTAAGATTATCCAAAATATAACAAAATATAGTTAGGTTTTCTTTCCTATCCTAACTACAGTACTAGAAAATGATTCCCAAATATGTCTAAAGGTATAATTTATTTTTTCCAGTGAGGAGGACAGTGATATGAATTTTGCTACATTTACACCAGTGGGCACGACTGGTACCCACTTTATGACTACTAGTGGTCAGTTGCCAGTACAGAAGCTTCAGCAGAATGTCGCTAACAATGGTGCAGGCATGCCACAGGTAATCAATCGTTATACCCATGACTTTCATTCAGCTAGTTAAAGTACCTTCTTATCCACTGGATCACCTGGTTTTACAAGTGTTTATTTAACATTCAATATTTGTTGTGGGCAATGATGTCCATACTCGGTTTTAAAAAATTTGAAATTCTCAATGAGGTATGCAAATGCATAATTATTAGGAATACAATTACTATTCTATAAATAGTTGAAAGTTAGAAATAAACTGTAAAGTCATAAAAGGTATGATGAGATAGTTAGAGAAAATGTTTGTTTTCACTAAAAACAAACATGTAAACAAATTGATAAGTGTGTATTATGAGATAAAAGAAGCATAATAATGATAAAACGATTACAAAGCATGTATTTTCTGTTTTCAATAATTTTGAAGTAGAAACTTTTACTATTGGAAAGCTCGGTATGAGGTTTCAATGAATGAATGTGCAGATTATTGGAGGTGTAGTTTCTAATGTTAATATAATATCTTGCTCTTCACTTATCATACATATAAAAATGGTTTAGTAAGTATTTTGCACTGGAGAATAGTCTATAAATCTTGTTATGCAATAAGTGAAAGTTGTAGAGCAAAACAGAGTTAGAAACTACACATTCATTAATGTTGCGTAAACTTGAACAAAAGATGTATTCTACTGTCTCAGGGGTGTAATCAATGATTTACGTTGTTAGAAATATTTAGAACCAAACACAGCGCGTGGGTGCTAAATTAACGACTCGCATTTATTTTAGAATAGAATGATGTCAGACAAATTCTACTAACTAATTTATTCTAGTTAGTACACACCATGTTGATATGAATTTCTTAGAATATTTACTAACATACTGACTATATAATAAAGCGGACACTTATGTGACTTGGAAATTTTATTGATTTACTAAAGTTCAATCTTTAGATCGTACGATACATGTTTCCAATTGTCTTATTGGTGAACTGCTTATTTTGTACCTTCTAATCTTCTGTTCCACATTGTACAAAATATTGCTAAGGATGATGTGACCTGTACTGTAATTTCTTATTTTCAACTAGTCCATTAGTTGTGCTTGTTCCGTCAAAAAGCCAGTAGAAACATGTGTTTCGCACTGCCATCCATAAAATATCTATCATCCTTTGCTATATGCCCATCATATGTCACATCATTAAAATAAAAAATATTATTTATTGCATTTATTTAAATTGTGTCATGTTTCATAGGTATGTGTTATGGGCGATGGTGGTGTGCAGTACATGCGTGCTTTAGACGCCAGCTGTAACTTGCAAGCGACACCGCAACTCATTTCTGTGCCCGTTGCATTGCCGGGAGCCAAGCCTGGTATGTATAGCTGTAAAAATGGAAATACATTTATTTAATATAACTATCAAGTTGCAAACGCATTGTGGTAATAATAGGTATATTGAATAGATCATCAGACAATCATGAGACAAGCAATTATTTAAATTAATTCATATTCGAAAGGAACTTATATGTTTTCCACGGGTAATTTGACAATTAATTACCATTTTGTTAAATACATTTTTTAAAAAAATTAAGCCCCATGATCCACAGTTATGTCCACAAAGTCGTATCGATCGAAAATTCCTAAGATTTTCTTCTCTTTATTGATTTTTAGGTGATCCTCAAGCAACAGTACAGATCCAGGTGCTGAGTCCAAATTTACTGCTACACCAGCCCAAATATCAGATGCAGATTCCCATTACATACGGAGACACCCAACAAGGTAAACAAACATGATACTACACTAATTAACTTTTCTAACAAAATTATGGTGGTGGAATGCATGCGGTAATGTATTAATTTGTAGTGCAATGGAGAATAGTGTCTCTAAGAAAGACCTGGACACTTGTGTGTGAGAGAACTGCCTAAAATGCTGATGAGAATAGAGCACTGCTTGAATATAACCCTCCATTAACCCAAATACAGCAACTAACCAACTATACATTTAACATTTTAAAGCATTATATTTCTTGCCTTTGGTAAGGGGAATATTGCTTGGGCTGCTATTTCAGTATTCATAATTCGCTTTGTAAATGTCATGTTCATTGAAGAAAGTTTGTATATTTTAATTGTTCTGCAGTGATGACTGTTGAAGCTGGAGGTATCCAGTTAGTCGGACAGAGCAGCTCAGGGGAAGGTAAGCACTTTGTAAATTAAGCTATCATAAGACAAAATTATATAATGTTCATAACTATGGATTACTCAAATGGATATTCTAATAACAATGATGTGAGTAAACTGTATGAGCATTATCTAATTTGTCTTAATGATGATTTTTTTATACATATTGTTTTTGTACAGCTTATACTTGTAATCATATTATTTTTGTGGTAGTACTTAAAAGTACTATCTCCAACTATGTAGGTTAGTTAAGAATTCTTTGGTTTTAATTCAACTCTTTGGTTGGTTGGTAATTATGCCAGATATAATAGAATATTATGCCAGAATATAATTAGAATAATGTTTATTTCAGAAAATATTACAATTTCGTTGTGTTCTGGACCTCACACTATGATTCCCTGAGCCGTGAGGTCCAGGCTTTCTAAAAAAGAGCACAAAAATCATAAGGCTTCATTATAAATGTATATTGTGTATGTGTGACGGTGTATATGTGTGTTTGTGTATGAGAGTGAGTAAGTGTGAACGTGTAGATGTTTGAAAGTGTGAATATGTCACATAAGTTAATACCAATAAGTATTTTTAATGATTGTTGCTGTTGCTACTAACTTATAAAGTTTTCAATCATGTTGTAATCCATGGTGAGAAGTCACCTTACCGTGTTTTTACATACATTTTTCATAATATGCTTTAATTTTTAAATAAATATAACACTGATAATAAAGCTGGAATATTTTCACACATTCAGGTACATTCAGGCTGCGACCAGGTGATACTGCTATTATATTACAATTTCAGTGTTCACTAATCATCACCAGAGCACTTGTGACGTCATAAACACATTAGCACTTGACAACTAACTAACGGCCGGTTTCAATTAGTTATATTAATCTGAAGATAGATTTAGCAAATAAGAGCTAGGCCCCACTTGTCCGTTGCACTACGTTGCGTCGCCGCAACAGAGCTACGCATTGTCCTCCCCACCAGATGCCGTCGACGCAGCGCATCACTCTTCCTCCACTTTGTCTCTTGTCCATCAATCTGTTGAAACGCCGCGCTTGACAACGCATCGCACTAATGGGGCATGTCATCTATACATATAATAAAATCGTAGGAAAGTGAAAACTGTACATTGAACGTTTTTTTTAAAAGAATACGATACCGGGGCAAAAACTATGTCAAAAGTCAATTTTTTCTTGAATTTTTGACTGTTTGTCTGTATGTAAGTCCGGGCTAAACTCAAAAAGCACTACATGGATTTACTTTAAATTTTGCATGAATATTACTAACAGGTCGGGTCAACATATAGGCTACATATTATCACGCTATCACCTACGGGGGAGGACCTGGAATCACTATTCCACGCGGAAGAAGTCGTGGGCACAGCTAGTAAAAAATATATGGAAAACTACGCTGCTACTACGCAACGCACAAATAGAGCCACGCTCTAAAGATCCCATTTGGACATCATGTCTCATTTTGTCCCTATGCTGCCGAAGCAGGCCTTTCTATAGTAGGCAAATATCTATCCACGGGTTATGGATACTCTATCACGTTCTCTACTCACGTTGTTCAATTCTAGGCAGGCAATAAAAAGGCACCATTGCGACGCGAAAGAAAGAAAAGCGCACTTTCGAAAATCTGTGTGTGATACAAATGTGCAAATTTTGTTTATTTTGTTTACTAGATGTAGTATTTTGGATACAACTTATCGAGTCAAGTTCTGACTTAAATTACACACATTACTACCTCATCTCAATTATCACACCTACGGAAATGACGCACAACAGTAGTAAAATATATTTTCATAAATAAATAAACTATTCTTTTGCCCTAGGTCTCCAAGTTTTGGCCTCCTTACCTCAAGAGATGCAGTTGGTGCAACCATCACAGGAAAAAGATCATATAGCACAAAACATGCCTCAGGTGCGTTCATTTTTTAAGACAACAGTTCAATAACAGGTTCAAATAAGTGTTACACTGTGTAATCTACACCTTCGGAGATTAAAGGTCTTGCCATTATATAATACTAGCGACTCGCCTCGGCTTCACACGGGTGCAATATGCATGTATTATACATTATAAATGTTCCTTAAGAATCATTCTATCTATTAAAAAACCGCATCAAAATCCGTTGCTTAGTTTTAAAGATCTAAGCATACATAAGGACATACAGACGGCGGATAGCGACTTTGTTTTATACTATGTAGTGACTGTCATGTAAACTTATAGAACTGTAATGTTTCAGGTATATATCACCCCGAACCAGCAGATCATCATCAATGGAGCCGACAAGGCGTTGAACAACAACACGACATCGGACAACCACAACCCGACAACCATCGTCATCAAGGAGGAGTGTGATGATGACGTAATTATACACTTTCCATTTATATTACCTTATTTTTTAACCGACTTTAAAAAAAAATTCCTGTATGTATGTTGGTGCGCGACTGTACTTAATTAACCGAATTTTTTACGTTTCTAAAAGTATTAACTTATTACAAATGATTCCTTATTTTGCATACGTAAAGGTTCTTATTTGTCACATTAAAGTTCACACACACTTAACAAGCACAGCTCCAGCACGACATTTTTTGCTTTGGAAACAATACAAAAAGGGTGTTAATGCGTTTTTGGCGCGCAATCGGCGCGCTCACAACCTTTTTACATTGACGTTATGACATATGTGATAAGGTAGGTATAAAATGTAATGTTCAAAGGATTATGGGCGCATCTGCGCATTGGATGTTGAACAAGAGCGTTGATATAAATGTCATTTAAAAGAGAATGATCTGTACTTTATTTCTTAGATTAGCTAGCTCGCCGGACAACGGAGATAAGTTCCCACAAAAATATAAAAAATCTTATGATTACCGAAGCGAACAAAACGATTACGTAGGGTTAAAACTCTTAAATAGATAAAAGTTAGGACCAAACTTCATAAGAATGAGAGCAAATCTTTTATAACATAGAATAACATCATGCCCTTTCATTCCCGAATGGTCGAGTAGAGATGTACATTATGTACTGAAACTAATAGCTACTTTTATTAGTTATGGATCCCGTATATTTGGAATGAGTCTATGACCATGACATTTTGTAATACTAACCAATTGGATCATTGTTATCTGAATAAAAAGATTATTATAACCAGAGCACAGTTGCAGACTAGAGTATTGATGATAACACACGTAGAAAACGTAAACAATGTGTTTGGTCAGTCCGGGTGTCGAACGCAAAATCTCGGCTCTACTTACACCCACTTCAACAATGAGGAAGTCTTAAACGTTCCATATTCTAGCATTTAACTTAAGAATTTTGATTTTTGAGGGTTTCGATGGTCTTTGGTTCCATTTTTGGGTCGTACTAGACAGAAAGGATTTTTACTCAGTACTAACAAAGTCAGTTTTTGCACGTGGTGTATTAGTAATAGATTCGTCCTTATAATATTATGTAAATAATAACATAACTGGCAGAAGGTGAGTGTTTCTCATAATTGTACATCTCTGTGTACTCTTTCGGGGAATAAAAGGCGTGATGTTATGTTTAATATGTCAACTCAAGTATAACAACGATTACAGCATTACAAAACTACGAGTGCACCTGTTTTTCAAAAGCAATTTAACAAAATTAAGAAATTTATATTGTTAATTACCAACATTTGAAGAGTGATTGTCTCAACAACCCCATACTTTATAAAAATAAAATTTATATTCACATGATCTAGACATAGAATACTTATCAATAAATGACATTTCATTTCTGTTGGTTGAATGTCCAACTTTCATACTAAAGTGCTCATGATCGTTTAAATGACAAGTTAATTGCTGGGTTGGGGCCGGGTTGGAGTGGTGCCGGTTAAGTGTAACCTTAACAGTGTAATAAAGCAATTTTTTACTTAACACATCTTTAACTCTATTTCCTTGCATATATAATATGCTCAAAAATAATTGTATACAACATTATCCTTTAATAATGCAAGATTATTTTTGTCCACACAGGAGAGTTCACAAGGCACAGAGATTGGAGAGACAACACAATGGCAATTAGATCCGAATCATCATCAGGATATTATTAAATATTTAAGAACATTGCCACCACAGGTTAGAAATCTACTTTCATTTTCAACACCTCGTTCTTCAATAGTATTGAAATATTATTGTTGACTGAAGTTACCTTGTTTATAAATATTTATTGATATTTTTATGGCAATATTGTATCCCTGTCAGACTTGCCAGAAACACACTTCAAATGTCTCTTTGGTTTTGTCATTTTTAATTTGTACAGTATCTCAGTAATTTGTATCTGTAATGTATATTTTTATTTAAGAACAGTTTAACTAATACACGTCTCATTTGAACCTCATCTATTAACCGTTTGAGTACCGTCACTATAGACACCATTCAAGAACGATTGGTTGCGGTCACTGGTGTCCTCGCAGTGTTTGACAGTTTAAAATATCGTCGTTTTTTCAATTGGCAAGTAGTAAAGTTTCACTTTATATTTACAGCAAACGCAAGCTCTCCCAGAATCATTGCAGCAATTCTTGCGGCTGAACCCAAATACCATAAAACAGGGAGAACCCATAGAGATTGAAGTGGAGAACGCCATCGTTCATAAGGAAGAACCAGTCGCCGAGGCTGTACTCAGCGAAGGTAAACTATACAAAATCGTTTATTAGCTAGTAACACACACAACGGTCCATCGTCACTCACACGCGATGACTACGAGCGACCAACCCGTAAGGTAATTTATTCACACCCCTCCGTAGCCCCGCGATTGACGACTGTACTCAGTACTCCATGTAGTTTTGTTGCATGACAGTGGAATTATTTGAGTCTGGCTCATCATCACCACAATCTGTATATTACGTAACAATCCCCTCTTGGGACCACGCATTGGCTGTTTTTTCAAAATTTATTTATGTGTTATCATAAAATGTTAATTTAACATAACACCATGTTATGTATTTTAAAATATAAACTCACTAATTGGCATTAATTATTATCAAAATTTTATCTACATGGTTTCCCAAAGAAAAGGAGGTGATTATTATTTAGGAACAATAAGTCATTGAATGGGCCAAGAAGCAGGGATTGCATGCTGCGTAAGTAAATACAATTATTAATGTTGCTTTGAGATCGGCTATTTGTTTTTACTAACCAGAACCCATGTACCAAAATAATATGGTGGTTTCAGGGAACTTTGCAGGCTCAAGCTCAGATAAGCGACTACATGAGCTAAAACTGCAATTAAACAAGGATGTCTGTAAGCACTCCCAAAAAAAGGTCGTTGCTGCAATAGCAAATTGTATAAACTATATACGGGAAACCCGGAAGAGACGAGAGCGGGAGAAGGCTCAGAGACGTTTAAAAAACGCTTTACCGCATGATGATAGTGTGGTTATAATTCTAGACGATGACGAAGAGAAAGAACATAAAAATGATGCAAATGTAAATGAAGGAAATAGTAGTGTCACTTGTAATGACAGTTCATCCGTACCTGTAAATGATAATCGTCTGGCAAACAACACAATCCGTTCAAGTAGTTTCGCTCACGCTAGGGATCGTAGCGCAGCTCTAATTAGTCATCAAAGTCTTATAGGAATGAAAGTTCAACCCCAAATTGATTATTCTTCTTACGCAATAAACCCTGAACTAACTTCGACACACCATCAAAGCGATCCCATTGCGACATCGTCATATGACTGTAGAAAGCCGGAGCCTCGAATAACAAACGAATCGCCCCAGGAATATTTGCCACATTATACATTTCAATCTCTTGTTGAATCTGCTCCTCAAAATATTGAACAGCCTATGGGCAGTACTATGGTACAACAACAATCAACGAATGCCCCCAATTACGTGAAACAAAGTGGGACTGGGAATATCCCAAATACCGAAATGCTCCTCAAAATATTGGACTTTCTAGAAAATAGTACTTGCTGTTCTTCTAGACTCTCAGAGGAACTTTTGGGAGTTCTGATGTCAGAGGTTCAATCTATAACTGATCCAAGAAGTGAATTGGAACTCAAAGAAAAATTACATAGAGTAATCGAGCGCATATCAAAAAATAATTCTTGTGAGAACGTTACTGAACAAATTTTCTCAGCACATTCTTCATCCCATGGAGGTGAAGTTTTAGAAAGCAACACATCAGTAAATCTATTAGTCCCGCAAAATCACATCGATAACACTATGTTAAATGAAGATGATCCACACAGAATAACACCACAAAATGACCCAGATGTGGAAATAATAGAAGAATATTTTCCCGAAAATAAATCAAATCACGAAGAATTCGTACATGAAAACTGTGAAAGCCGGGAATCAAAAGAATATTTGTTGGCAAATATTGTTTCTGACAACAGTATGTTGCAAAATAAGGATCACGACGTCAATGAAATTATTGCAGATCAAAATAATAAAATAATGTTTAATCAAAGTCCTCATGTTTATGAAGCTGATTCAGTGATACATAACCAAAGTGAACCAACACTTCCTATAACAACTAAAAGACCTTCTGGAGACCATAAACCAGTATACGTAAATGAATTAGAAAATATTTCGGTTGAAACGGAAACACACAATTCACAAAATTTAAACAAATCGCAAACTCCCGCACCTAGTGTTACTCCTAAAGGAAACCTTACAGACACTCCAGAATATGTAAATGAATCGGAAACTCGTGAGTCACACATGCCTTCAAAATGCGGGAATAATTTCAAATTGTTGATTGTAGGAGAATACGGATGTAAAAGTAGATCAGCATCCCGTGAAGCAAATATAGTCTGTAAACCAGAGTTAAAGTTAGAACATAAACTTAGTACTGAATCAGGGTACGAATCGAGTTCAAAGCATATAAGTAATTCGATTAAAAATGTTCATAAAAATATACCACCAAGTAATTATATTTCAGACCACACAAGGGTGCCTAATGATCAAGAAAAAGATAAAAAGTCCAATCAAGAAATACCAATATATGAAATTAGCTCCGATGATGATTCGGACTCCGAAATAAAGTATGTTGGAATTATAGAACTTAGTAAGACCGTTACGCCTAAGATAGAAGAAACGATTGAACCACACAAACATAGCGACATTATTATAAAACAAGAAATTGAATGTTCGGAAAATGAGCAAATTAAAACCTTACCTGAAAAAATAGAACCTTCGGAAAATGAGCGATCTGTAACATTACCTGAAATTAAACAGAAGTCTGAAATAGTTTCTAATGACGATGTAATGAATATTGAACGTAATGTATCAAATATGACAAATTTTGAGAGTGATATTAAGAACGATTATGATAATTTACATACCATTGACCAAAAGCCTGAAATTGTTACTCCAAATAAGATGGCTGGATCTACTGAAAATATTGATGACGTAGCTATGTTTTTAAGTACAATAGATTTACTTGATATACCACTACCACCCGGAAAACCGAAAACTGAAAATGAGCAACGTTACTCCACCTGGTTAAAACAAAGTGACCTTAATTTGAAACCTAATAATTTACAGCTTCAAATTATTGAACCATACAAAGACAGAGATGGTTCTAGCAGTCCTGTTGGACATTCCCCAAGAAGTAAAGATCTTGATAACGAAACCTCTCATAATGACCCTTTACAAATAAAACATAAAACTAACAACCGAAAGCAGACAAAGGGATATCAATCAAAAGTGAGCTCTAAAAATGCCAAAAATCAAAACGAAGAAAGAAGTCATAGTAAGACAGTTTTGTTGCCGAAATACGAACCATATAAAGATATCCGTGATTCACGAAATAAGACGAAAAAACCCACTGGACAGTCAATTAGACAGCCGTCAAAAAATCCACCAAAAAATAAAACGTTAGGATTAAAAATGAAATACAAAGACTGGGACCGCGTCGAAGAAAGTGAACCAAGACCTCACACCGATTTTCAGCAATCAAATGCAATATTTCCTTTACCCGGCCTAGTGAAAAAAACAACAGAAAAATTTGAAAAAGTTCCAGAAGAAGAAAACCAGCATCTGGTTAATGTTGGTTATGAAACAATGATATTCCAAAATGAAATCATACCAGAATCGGTTGATTATGTCCCCAGCCCAGGTTGTGAGGTCACTATTGATTCAAATGATTTCAGCGTAGACGATGACTTAGATAATATTGTGCAACTAGAACAAAGTGCTCTTTTAACAAACGCAACACTTGAGACTACTCCCGTGGAACCAATGGCTGTGAATAAAAAATGTGATGATACTTACGAAAAAGATACGTCATGTTTAGAAGACGCGGGACATAAGGACATTGTTCAAAGTGTTAGTAATATAATTGAAAAAGAAAATAGTACAAATTATATAGAAAATTCGACCCTCTGTAATACAAATGATTTAGATAATATTTTGCAGCTCAACCAAAGTACCCTTTTGACAAACGCAATACTTGACAACATTCCAGAGGAACCCATAATGCATAAAGAATCGGATAATATTTTTGAAAATGTAAAAAATCCAATTATTGAAATCAATACTTACGAAAAAAATACACGTGAAATAGTTACAGACGCAGGATATAAGCCCGATGTAAGTAATAAGAAGGTTCCGATTGAGAAAGAAAAACATTACGAAAATATAGAAAATAGGACCCGTAGTCCTAAAAATAACAAAGGTATTAAACATAGTATAAGCAAAAATGGAAAACAACCTAAAATTAACACAGATAATAACTCCGTCCCAATCAAAGATCAACAGGAAAATGTCACAGCCCAAACTACAGAAAAGAATAAAACGGGAGGTACCGTATTTCTTGGAGATTATGTACCAGATCCACAGAAAAAGAATACCAAATCAAATAAACCTAGTAGTAATAAAAGTGTGAACTCACCTAAAAAAAGAAAACCTGTGAGAGTTCCTCAACTTAAAGGTATTAGAAAAATTTTAAATGAACGACGACTAAATAGGGGCATAGGGAAAATTAATACACGACAAGTGAAAAACAATCCACCAATCTGTCCAACATTACAGGAAAAATATAAAAATCACGACATCGACACGGAAGAGAGCAAAACTAAAGCAAAGCTAAATGAAATGCAAGTTACACCAACTAAAGAGAAGAAGAAAACCGTTAATTTATTAGAACAGTGTGTGAAAAATGAACAGTATGTGGGGAATAATAAAAATAATAATGAAACGTCAGTATCAAAAGAGCTGCGCCATAATTTAAATAATTCTTCATCGAAAATAGATGTAAATGATTCGCGTAGTAATAACTCTTTTCCGACATTGTGTGATGATGAACTTTTGATTAATAAAAAAGAATTAAAATGTACCGCACATTCTAATAAATCGATAATTCCTTTATTTGGCGATAAAAATTCTTCACTACAACCAAATTCAGGCAATGGCGCTTCTTCCTTACCAAAACCAAGTTCTTTACAGACATCAGATTTCCACGTTTATGGTTTACTAGATTCCCATAATAATTCTTCAACAATGATAAATGATGAATCACTCAACAGTAACCCTAAAAATAATGACGTTACTGGTGAAAATAGAGGTCATGCAACAAACAAAGTACCAAAATTAAAAATATTGAAAGTCGATCGAGACGCATCTCACAACATGCGTTTGAGAAAACGAACCTTATCTACATACAAGTGTATCGAATG